GTCAGGCAGTATTTCATTGGCCTTAATGTACAGTCCATGTGGGCTACATATTAAATTCCATAAGATAGGTTATTATGATTGTCTTTTTTTACTACTCTATCTCCAGCACCTGACAATACTGCCTAACACATAGTAACGATGATGATATTGTGATAAGTGACATTTATTTTTCAGTCAATATTCTGAGCATTTTATATTATGTAACCCTTACAATTCAGTTTGACATAACTATTATTATGCCCATTTCACAGATGAAAAAACTGGGGCTAAGGAAGTGAGGTCATTATCCAAAGACTCAGGATTCAAATAATATTCAATATAGATGCTCAATAAATCTATGATGAAAAACATTTATATGAGTGAGAAGTGATTTAGCAGGTCATACTCTATACCATCATGACATTGAATCATTGGTTCTCAGGCATGTTGAACAGGGCTTGGTTTTTTACATTACCTGATATATTACAATATATTATGATACAGATTTGTGTAGAGTAACTGCCACTCTGGGGACAAAGACAAACTTCCTTTTAGCTATAAATCTGAATGTTATGGTCTAGGGGGATATTCTTACATCATTACCATTTTATTTGGATTAAGCCATTTTAGAGCAGTAATAATGGTGTTGCTAAGTTAGCATATCTAATAACATAGCCTGTATTATAGATACAACTACCACAGTTGGTGACTTGCTCATACTGATAACCTCAGACATTCATTAGCCAGTGTAAATGTTGAACACCAAACTTCAATAGAATATAGTTTCAAGTTGGGCTGTGAACAGTACTGAATGCATTATGTAACTGTATAAAACAATTGTTAGATGATGGGTCTGGGCATGGAAGTTATGAAGAATTATGCATATTTTGAACCAACTTATAAATCAGCAAATTAGGCAGCTGTCTTGAGCCAAAGTCAAGCTTACATATTTGGAAATATTAAGTATGTATCTAATTCTGGAGTACTCAATATCCCAAGGAAACTACTCTTGTAAAACTATTAATAAAGATGGTGCTCAGGTGCTAGCTCAGTTGAGTTTGAACATAAAGTTAAGGGCAAACTGCAGCCTGAAGTCCAAATCAGAACAAGATAACAGAGCCTAGAAGTGAGATTAAAGGTTCAGGACAGGTTTGATAGATAGTTTTTGTGTTTATGGAACAATATTCTATTATAGACTAAAATATTCATATTGATTATTTTAAGGAGATAAAAACAAACCAGTCAATATAGGACATATATAAGCAAGAAATAAATCAGTGCTCTCCTTGTGCACTTGTTGCATCATTAAATTGTTAATGAAGATTTAAATAAGTGCCAGTACAGCATTGTAGTTAAGCATATATAATCTAGGTTTAGACTGAGTTTAAGTCCAAGTTCTCTCAGGTTTTATATTTGTGATTTTGAATAATGTCTTTCTTAATTTTAATCTAGTTTATCTGAAAAATAGGAATAATATTTTTTCTTGCAATAATTGTTTTATGATTACATATGATAATATATGTAACACAATTAATTTCTGATACATAATTAGCACTCAATGCATTTTGCTATTATTATTACTGTACATATAGCATTGCTCTGAAAATTAAACTTTTATTAATTTTTAGTAATCTATTTCTGAAACTTCATTCACCTTATGGAATCTTTGAGCCATACTTTACTCACTTCCGTGAGATATTAGATAGTTTTATTTATCAATTTACTATGAGTTGGGTTGGTAGTTATGAGTCTTAAATCCAAATCCCTAAAAGAAATATGTTGTTAAATGACAGACCTAGAAATGTCAGAAGCATTGTTTCTTAATTTACAATATAAAAATTATATGATGGTAGGCTGAGGTATAGGTCAGTGGATGAGCACTTGCCTAGTATCTGTGAAGCCCTGGAATCAATCCTCAATCCTGCAAAAAAGTAAAAGAATTTTGATTGTCATGTGAATCTTGTGGTATGAAGTTGAAGAGCAAGATTGTTTGTCTCTCTATTGTTTGTTCATATTATTATTGGATCTTTAACTTTTGAAAAGAAAGAATAATATTTTGCTATATAATTTTCTATACTTCCAGCCTTGCCACCCACATTCACATCATTTTTCTTCTGTGCCCAAATTTACTGTTTGTAGAATAGGCTAGCCTAAGAGAAATGTTAACATAGATGTAGTTACAATACCTTTGTACTTGACTTAATTTGTACCTCTTCATAGTCTTTTTTTCCTCAGACCCATTAGATTCACTAGACAAAGGTAGCTTGCCAGGGTGTGTTCATTGATGCATTAGAATGATGCATGAAAATGGAATTGATTATGCTATATTTATACCGGCACATAATGTCAATTAGATCAGTCTCATTCCCCAGCACCTCCACTTAACCTCTCCTCCTCCTGCCCCCTGAACACATTTCTCTATTCTACTGTCCTACTTTCTATTGTTATTTTAATTAATGCATAATAAATATGTATAAAAGTGGTTTCATTGTGGTATGTTTGTACATGTCCATAACATATTTTGGTGGATTTTATTCTCCATTACTTCTCGATGCCAAACCCTCCTCCCTCCATCACAATCCCTTAACTTTTCTCTGTGTTCTTCTAACTTTATAAGATTCTTTATTATTCATTATTTTTCTCTTTAGCTTCCACATTTGAGAGAAAACACTTGACCCTTGACTTTCTGTGTCTGGTTTATTTCTCTTAGTATCCAGTTCTATCAATTTACCAGCAAGTGACATAGTTGTTTTCTTTATGGCTGAGTAAAATTTTATCGTGTATGTATACCACATTTTCTTTATACAGTCATCTGTTGACAGGCATCTAGGCTTTCCATAAGGTGGTTAGTGTGAATTTCAGTGCTATATACATTGTTATGCATGTATCACTATAGTATGCTGATTTCCATTCTTTGAATAAATAATAAGGAATGGAATAACTGGGTCATGTGCTGTTTCCATTTCTAGTCTTTTGAGGAATCTCCATACTAATTTCAAATGTGGTTTTTCAAATTTGAAATCCCACTAATGTATATGTGTACATTTTTCTTACATCCACACAAGTATTATTGTTTGTATTCTTTTTTTTAAATACCTTCATTTATTTATCTTTATGTGGTGCTGAGGTTCGAACCCAGGACCTCACACATGCTAGGGGAGCGCTGTACCACTGAGCGACAACCCCAGCCCTGTTATTTTATTCTTGATAATTACTCTTCTGACTGGAGTGAGATGAAATCTTAATGTAATTTCGACTTGCATCTTTCTAGTTGCTAGAGATATTCAACATTTTTTAATATATTGAACATTTGTATTTATTCTTTTGAGAAATATCTATATAGTTCAAATTCCCATTTACTTAATCAGTTATCTATTTTTCTGATACTGTTTTTTTTCATTTTCATTTGAAGCAATAAATTATTCATAATTGTGGAATTCATTATGCCATATTTGTACATGTAAATAAAGGTTGTTTATTTACACACACATATACACATATGTGTGCATATATATAATTAAATATACATATGATTCATTGTGTTGTATTCATACATTCACATAGCAAAATTTGTTAGATTTTTTCCTCCAGTACTTTCTCATGCTCTCTCGACCTCCTTCTCCTTCAATCCCCATCCTCTACTCTATTGGTCTTCTTTTTATTCTTGTGAGACATTCTTTAATTTTAATTTTCCCCTATTTCCTCTCTCTAGTTTCCAGATGCAAGAGAAAACATTTGATCTTTGACTTTCTGAGTCTGGCTTATTTCATTTAGCTTGATGTTATACAGTTCCACCCATTTACTGGCAAATGTCAGAATTTTACTCTTTGTGGTTTATTAAAACTCCATTGTTTATATGTACCATGTTTACAGTATCCATTTGTTTGTTGTTGGGTACCTATATGCTGTACCTATATCTTGGCTTGTGTGATTTGTGTTGCTATAAATATTGGTATGCATGTATCACTATAGTTTGCTGTTTTTAATTCTTTTAGATTAATACCAAAGAGTAGGATACCTGGGCCCTATTGTGTTTCCATTTCTAGTTGGTTTTTTTTTTTTTTTTTGAGGGTGGGTACCAGGGTTTGGAGTCAAGGACAATCAACCACAGAGCCACATCCCCAGCCTTACTTTGTATTTTATTTAGAGACAAGGTCTCACTGAGTTGCTTAGTGCCTCACTTTTGCTGAGGATGGATATGAAATCTTGATCCACCTGGTTCAGCTTCCAGAGGCAATGGTATTACTGGTGTACGTGAGTACACCCAGCTCCATTCCTAGTTTTTTGAGGAAGCACCATAATGCTTTCCACAGTGGTTTTGCTAATTTGCAGTTTTTATTAATATTATGTAACTATATGTTTTCCCCACATACTCACCAACAACTATTATAAATTGTATTCTTAATAATTGCTATTTTACCTAGAGTGAGAGGAAATCTCAGTGTAGTTTTTCTTGCATTTCCATGATTACTAAAGATGTGGAACATTTTATTTTATGTATTTGTTGGCCATTGGTATTTCTTCCTTTTAGAAATATCTACTTAGATCATTTCCCCATTTATTATTATTATTATTATTATTATTATTATTACAAATTAAGATTTTTGCTCTTTATATATTCTGCATATGAATCCTTTTTTTTTGAGGACTAGCTGGCAAAGGTTTTCTTCCATTCTGTAAGTACTCTCATCATGCTCTTCTTTACTTTGCTCTGTACAACTTTTTAAATTTGATGTTATCCCATTCATTGATTCTTAATATTATTTCTTGAGCTTTATTATGCTTACTTCTTATTCTTATTATTTTATTTCTTAAGTCTTATTAAAGAAGTCAGTGCCTGCAACAAATGTAAGAGTGTTGACCCTATGCGTTTTTGTAACAGTTGCAAAAAGTTTCTGGTTTAACTTCTATGTGTTGATGCAATTTGAGTTGAGTTTTGTGCAGGGTGAGAAAAAAGGATGTAGTTGCATTCTTCTACATATGAGCATCCAGTTTTCCTAACATCTTTTTTTTTTTTTTAGTTTAAATGTACTTTATTTTTAGACCACCCGCATGACATTATTCTTAAACAACAACAACAACAACAACAAAAACCAATGCCTCCACTCCAAATAAAGCACAGTTAAAAATAAATGTGCTGAAGATGACATCAGTTCCATTTGTCTTAAGTCCTGGTGTTATGTAAATGACAAGCAACAACTAGTTATGATGACAGATGATAGATCCAAAGTAACTGCCTAATTTGTTAGCATTTTCCAACTTCTAAACCATCTTTAAAGAAAATCACATGTGGGGTCACATCATCCTCAAGGTAGTTCAGGAAAGTGACCAGACCATCTGGATTCATGTTTTCACCAATAAAGAACTGATAGTTTTTGAAATTAGCAAGGATGGGCTTGATTTGTTCTGCAGGCCCTGTCATAAAAGGTTTTACTCTGTTCTCTGTTCTTCAAATTTGCCTTTGATTGATTTCATGTAATTTTTGATGTACTTCTTGTATGATTATTTATGAAGCTAGTTTCTGGCAAGTGATGGTTATGACAATACCAACACCAGGGATTACTGTGCTTTTGGTACCTTGGCTCTCGAGTCCTTCAGTGCATCATTTCCAACAATGAGCGAGTCATCAATGTTACCCTCTGTCCAATGAACATCTTGCCCTCCACCTCCAGGCACAGCCCATCCACGATCTCCTGGATCTTGTAAATGTGGGAGAACATTTCATCATGGCTAATGAGGTCCAGGTAGATAATAATGATGGTGACTGGAGTGAAATGGTGGTGGCCTAGCTTAGTAGGAACCTGGAGCTCAGAGCAAGCATGGTGCAGCCCGAGCAAGCAGTCGGGGTGAGGGGGGAGCGGACAGTAAAAAGAGCTCGAGCACCATTTTTGAAAAGAGTTATCTTTTCTCCATTATGCATTTTTGGCATCGTTTTGCAGGAACATATGAATGTATCTATGTGGGTTTGTATTTGTGACTTCTATTCTGTTACATTGTTCTTTATTTCTGTTTTATGCCAATGACATGTTTTTGTTTTATTTTTTTTCTATAACTTTGTGGTATAATTTGAGATCAGGTATTTTGATGCTTCTAGCATTGCTTTTTATCTGCTTAGAACTTCTTTGGTTATTTTGGGTCCTCCATATGAATTGTAGGACTGTTTTTTATTTTTATTTTTTTAGTTTAATGTAGAATGTCACTGAACTTTGATGGGGATTGCATTGAACGATTTGATTGCTGTTGTTACTATGGCCATATTGATTATATAAATTCTGCTTATCTAGGAACTTTGAAGGTCTTTCCATCTTCTAAGGTTTTCTTTAATGCCGCAGTCTGGCTGGGCACAATCAGGAGCCACTTGTCAAAAGAAACTAACTTTATTTTTAGAACCGCACATGCCAAACAAAACAGCCTCTCAGGAAAAACCCTCAGAGCCCAACTGCCACCACCGGCTTTCCACAAGCCTCTCTCTCCCACACAAGCTTCTCCCCACCTCCCACAATCCTCCAGCTCTTGAGGCCGATTGGCTGGGTCATGTGGGCGGAGCCAAAAAAGTCCCCCAATGAGCAGCTCCGTGGTCTGAAAGGGGAGGGAAACAGCCCAATGAGCATCACCGCAGAGGAGCCAATCAGCTAGATGTTGCTGGGGCCGAGGAGCCAATCAGCTAGATGTTGCTGGGGCCGCTGTGAGCCAATCATCAGCCGGCAGCTGGAAGTTTGCTGGCAGCTGGAAGTTTGCTGGGGCCCCTTCGGCTGTGGCTCTCAACATCTCCCCCTCTCTGTTTAAACAACAAGCATGTGGCTTAGGGACCGTGTCTGTTAGGCAGTCCAATTCAACATATGGTCCTTACCCGTCATCGGATGAACTGACCTCTAGTCGTCAGCCTCCTGTCTTAGGTTGGTACCACTGCAATTGGATCATACCCGTCACTGACTACCGGTCCAGCATACAGCTATACTTGTGGATAGGCCTTTGCACCAGTGGGGGGGTGAGGTTCTTTGCCTCACCTCTGTTGGCCCCCAAATTTTAGACCATCACTAGTAGAGGAGGATGCAAAATGCCATGACATTAAGCCAATTGAGGGCTCCTTTGAAAAATTGTACCACCGGTGACATCATCAGCAAAAATAACCCAACACTACCACAAGTCGCTGCACCAACAGATAGTTCACAATGCATACAGGTGAGCTCACAATGTGTCCAGGCAAGTTCTGCAAGCAGTTCAGTGATGGCTATTGTAGAAGCTGTAGATTGGTTTTATCTTTGACTTCACCAGCACTGGGATGAAGATAGGAATTCTGGCAATAATGGCTAAAGAAAAAATTATGTAACATTACAGAAGGCACTAAAAGAAAACAATTTTCTTAACAATTTACATTATCTTTAAGAGAATTATTAAATATAATGAAAAGGAAAGGTGAAAGTAAACAAACAGATCTGTTAACCTTCTTTTTTGTTTACATATTAAAACAATCCTCAACAGTTGTTTACCCAATTTAAATTAAACCATATAAATCACGTGAAAAAAAATATTTGGATCCATTTTATCATGAGCGCTCATCATATATGATATACGGACATACATACATTCAAACATATAACACAAAACACAAGTGTGCACACATAATATAATACATACAACACATAACATTATAGTAAAGGCCTTATAACTTTTTACAGGTGAAATCTCCATTGCAATGTTTAAAAACTCTATAGTCAAAAATAGAACTGATCAGCAGAACATTAACCTAGGTCTGTATGAGCTCAAAAAACAAAATAGAACTTTATGATATGGCAAAGGGAAATAATAAAACAGATATTGAAAAAAGCATCCTGGTTCTGTTGCAGATGTAAGAATAGCCAAACTGGAGTTTTGGATATCAGTTGTTATGGATTTGAGCCAAATCATCTTCTTTTTGGTCTGTAGAAATCGCTTTAGTTAATCTTTCTGGAATCCAAATCGGCTGCTGTTCTCCCTGTGGAAACACATAAACAGACCCCCGACTCCAGACAATCACTGGGTCAGGACCTTGGTTAATCTCTCTGGAATCCAAATCGGCTGCTGTTCTCCCTGTGGAAACACACAAACAGACCCCCGACTCCAGACAATTACTGGGTCAGGACCTTTCCATTGTCCTGTTAGAATATCCTTCCAAAGTACCTTGGGCTTATGTACATTTTTTGGACACATATGCCTTTCCGCAGCACTAAGTCCTGATGAATCCAAATTTAAAAAGTTTAGAGTAAAAAGGGTTATTTTAAGTTTATCTTTGGGGAATATATACCCCTTCCCAATTCCTTCTTTTTGCTTTAATAAGTACATTTTAATAGTTTGATGAGCTCTTTCAACTATGCCTTGTCCCTGTGGATTGTATGGGATTCCTGTTATATGAGTAATGCCAAATGTTGAGCAAAATTGTTTAAAAGAGGTAGAAGTATAACCAGGGGCATTATCTGTTTTTAACTGTTTTGGAACACCCACAGTGGCAAAATTTTGTAAGCAATGAGCTATAACATCTTTAGTTTTTTCTCCGGCATGAAGGGAGCCCATCAAAAATCCAGAAGAAGTATCAACTGTAACATGCAAATATTTTAATTTTCCAAATTCTGGCAAGTGTGTGACGTCCATCTGCCAAATATGGTTAGGTATCAATCCTCTAGGATTGACTCCAAGATTAACTTGTGGTAAAAAGGTCACACAATTTTGACATTGTTTTATTATTTGTCTAGCTTGTTCCTTAGTTATTTTAAAACACTTTTGTAAAGTATTAGCATTGACATGGAACTTTTTATGAAAATTTATAGCTTCTTCTAGTGTAGAGAAAATATGTATGTCATGTGTAGTTTTATCTGCTAAATCATTGCCCAAACTAAGGGCTCCAGGCAATCCTGTATGTGCCCTGATATGTCCTATAAAGAATGGATCTTTTCTGTCCCAGATTAGACTTTGTATAGTGGAAAGCAAAGAGAAAACAGTAGAAGAAGGGGAAATCCTACCAGCATCTTCAAGAGATACTATAGCATTAACTACATACTGACTATCAGAAAATAAATTAAATACAGAATCTTTAAACATCACAAAAGCTTGTAAAACTGCATTAAGCTCTACCTTTTGAGCTGATTGTTTGGGTACTAAAAATGTAAAAGTTTGATCAGGGGTAACTACTGCTGCTGTACCATTATTTGACCCATCAGTGAATATATTTGGAGCATTCATGATAGGTGTTTTTCTTGTCATTTTTGGAAAAATTACAGGATGCAATGACCAAAAAGACAATAAAGGATTAGATGGTAAATGGTTATCAAATGAAACATTAGATTTGCACATGATTATTGCCCAAGTATTTAACTCATTAGCTAACTCATCAATTTGATTCATAGTATATGGAGTAATAATTTTATTGGGAGAAATTCCAAACACTCCCTTTGCTGCTTTTATTCCTTTGAGTATTAATTGTCCTACAGCCTCAGGATACCTAGTAAGAATAGTGTTAGGAGAATAAGATAAATGTATCCATAATAATGGACCTTCTTGCCAAAATACTCCTGTAGGAATATTTTTTGTTGGTAGTACAATAAATAATAAAGGCAAACTTATATCAATTCTATCCAAATGCATATTTTCCATATATGTTTCAATGATTTTTAATGCTTTTCTTGCTTCAGGCGTTAACATTCGGGGTGAATTTGGATCTGATGGACCTTTTAGGATATCAAATAAAGGTCCCAACTCTCCTGTTGGTATACCTAAATAAGGCCTTATCCAATTTATGTCTCCTAATAACTTTTGAAAGTCATTAAGTGATTTGAGTTGATCTACTCGTATTTGAATTTTTGGTGGACGGACCATTGTTGAGGATAATAGAACTCCTAAATAATTAATTGGAAAATTTAATTGTACTTTATCTATTGCTATCTCTAGATTATAATTTTTTAATAAGTTTGTAAGTGTGGCATAACATTCTAGCAATGTGTTTTTATCTTTGTGTGCTAATAATATATCATCCATATAGTGAAATATTTGTAGTTCAGGATTTTGATTTCTAAGTGGCTGGATTACTTTGTTAACATAAATTTGACACATAGTTGGGCTGTTAGCCATCCCTTGAGGGAGTGCTTTCCATTCA